TGCTATCCATCTGTTGCCCCGTTTATAAACAACCAGGTGGCCACTGCTATCAAGTTTATTGTGTTGACACACGTTTTATTGTAATTACTGTTTTATTGTAATTACTTTCCTGGATACAGATGAAATGACAAACCAATTATCTATAAAACTACCAACAAGAGGAACATGACTGGTCGCCATAGCAACCTGTAAAATGTTAATTGCAATTAAGTAGCGTGCACCATGTTAAATATGTAGGTAAGCCAATGTATGTTACACACCAATGCATGTCAAAAATATGACAACCAATATTTATATTTACATTTTATGTTGATCAACTTACAGTTCATGCAGTAAAGACATAATACTAGTCTTAACACGTTTCAACGTCAGGGTAAATCCATACAGATAACAGCCACCAGTTGACAGTGGAGCAGTGCAATCTCCAACGTTACAGTTATGACGTCATACACATAGCGACGTCACAATAGCCCAATGTATGTTATACGGAAATAACATACATTTGGCCCAGTAGAAACATCTAGGCGCTATGCAGTGCAAATGTAAATATTTATAATATAGTACGTATTAGATAGTTCATCATTTTGTTCGGGAAAAAATATAGAAAAAGGGCAAGCATTATATCCAACTTGTGTTCACATAACTGAATTTTTTCATATTAATAAAAACATTGAAGAGTAGTGAAAATTTATTCTTTCCTAAAAATGGGATGTTCAGGATTTATTAAAAAATATATTACACTGCTTTCCTTGATTTTATACGACAGAACCATAATATTGAAGATGACATTGAACTTTTTACTCATTTCTATATAGACCACAACATAGACACTTAGCTTCTAGTATTTTGTTACACTGATGAATGACAATGTAGATTGGCATTGTATTAATTTATACAGAAATTGAACAGCATTTATCTAATGCTAATGCTTTATAGTGGCATGACATTGACAAAATGACACTCAATACACATATTTACATTATAAATTTAATGATATTTGTTATCTAAATATCGGTATTCTCTTATATTTGCAGTATTTAAAGTGTCTGTATCATTATTCCTGGAACGGACCAACATTATTAAAATGTTTGCTTTTGAGGATTGTCTCACATTATGATATAGTGGGATTCAGAACAAATGTAAATCTGGTTTTATGACAGTGATGGTTTCGGTGTTGAAATGGTTTTATGCCCCCATCATTGTATGGGGGTAAGGGGGAAGGGTGTGTATCTATAGTGTTACCAATGTCTGTCCCATCCCATCCTGATTCATTGTATGGGGGTAAGGGGAGGGGTGCGTTTCTATAGTGTTAACAATGTCTGGTCTGTCCCGTCCCATCCTGATTCATTGTATGGGGGTAAGGGGAGGGGTACGTTTCTATAGTGTTACCAATGTCTGGTCGGTCCCGTCCCATCCTGATTCATTGTATGGGGGTAGGGGGAGGGGGGCGTATCTATAGTGTTACCAATGTCTGTCCCGTCCCATCCTGATTCATTGTATGGGGGTAGGGGAAGGGGTGCGTATCTATAGTGTTACCAATGTCTGTCCCATCCCATCCTGATTCATTGTTTGGGGGTAAGGGGAGGGGTGCGTTTCTATAGTGTTAACAATGTCTGGTCTGTCCCGTCCCATCCTGATTCCTTGTATGGGGGTAAGGGGAGGGGTGCGTTTCTATAGTGTTTCCAATGTCTGGTCTGTCCCGTCCCATCCTGATTCAGTGTATGGGGGAAAGGGGAGGGGTGCGTTTCTATAGTGTTAACAATGTCTGGTCTGTCCCGTCCCATCCTGATTCATTGTATGGGGGTAGGGGAAGGGGTGCGTATCTATAGTGTTACCAATGTCTGTCCCATCCCATCCTGATTCATTGTATGGGGGTAAGGGGAGGGGTACGTTTCTATAGTGTTACCAATGTCTGGTCGGTCCCGTCCCATCCTGATTCATTGTATGGGGGTAGGGGGAGGGGTGCGTATCTATAGTGTTACCAATGTCTGTCCCGTCCCATCCTGATTCATTGTCATTACAACCAACTTCATGTCCATCAAACTTTATACGAACGTCAGATATGAGCATACCTTGGTTGAGTTTGCATTTCAGGGTTACAAGGTCAATTCCAGGGTCACTGTTGCTAGGTATGGGTCAAATTATTGTTTCTATTGATAGAAAATTGTCAAATAACGAAGGTAATTTCACCGGGCCAAAAGGGCATTCATGTCCTAAAGATGTTCTTTGTTCTTAAAATTTTGTATGGATTTCGTAGTTTTTCCAGAGATAGAAGTCAACCTTACCCAATCAAGGCTCTTTGTTAGACTGATTATGGTAGTCAACCTTACCAGATCAAGGTTGTTTGTTAGACTGATTATGGTAGTCAGCCTTACCCGATCAAGGCTGTTTGTTAGACTGATGACGGTAGTCAGCCTTACCCGATCAAGGCTGTTTGTTAGACTGATTACGGTAGTCAACCTTACCAGATCAAGGCTGATTGTTAGACTGATTATGGTAGTCAGCCTTATCAGATCAAGGCTGTTTGTTAGAATGATTACGGTAGTCAACCTTACCAGATCAAAGCTGTTTGTTAGACTGATTATGGTAGTCAGCCCTACCCGATCAAGGCTGTTTGTTAGACTGATTACGGTAGTCAGCCTTACCAGATCAAGGCTGTTTGTTAAATTGATTATGGTAGTCAGCCTTACAAGATCAAGGCTGATTGTTAGACTGATTATGGTAGTCAGCCTTACCAGATCAAGGCTGATTGTTGGACTGATTATGGTAGTCAGCCTTATCAGATCAAGGCTGTTTGTTAGTATGATTACGGTAGTCAACCTTACCAGATCAAGGCTGTTTGTTAGACTGATTATGGTAGTCAGCTTTACCCAATCAAGGCTGTTTGTTAAATTGATTATGGTAGTCAGCCTTACCAGATCAAGGCTGATTGTTAGACTGATTATGGTAGTCAGCCTTACCAGATCAAGGCTGTTTGTTAGACTGATTATTGTAGTCGCGTGAGCCTTACCAGATCAAGGCTGTTTGTTAGACTGATTATGGTAGTCAGCCTAATACCAGATCAAGGCTGTTTGTTAGACTGATTACGGTAGTCAGCGTCACCCAATCAAGGCTGTTTGTTAGACTGATTACAGTTGTCAGCCTTACCAGATCAAGGCTGTTTGTTAGACTGATTATGGTAGTCAGCGTCACCCGATCAAGGCTGTTTGTTAGACTGATTACGGTAGTCTTCCTTACCCATTCAACAGTGTATACTCAGTATATAATGTATATTGGTTAGAAACTGCCCCAGCAGTTTTAGGTGTCATTCCCAGGATAGTTAATGGAAAATCAATAAGTAATTGATGCAATGCCCAGAGGTACAATTTTTCTGAATGAGATATGCGGCTTCCAGCATCTATAAGTGGTGTAAGCTTGAACATTCTGAAGGACATTGACAAAGGGCAAGGTCATTCGGGTCAATACTTTGCGCTAATATTCATGGTAATAGCTTGTAAAGTTTACAAATGTGATATTTTCAATATTCTTTACGATTTTGATTTGATTTACTTATCGCACAAACAAATATTGATTTTATATTATTAACATAATTAGTTTGCCATACTATAAAGTTGTGTGGTCCAGTGGTGCACCAAGACGGCAATTCCCTGATCGGACATGAAAAGGTATGGGATTACCTGCCCAATCACATGGGGTTTCTCCGGGTCTCTGGTTTCCTCTAACATTAAGACCCGACCCCCCCCCCCCCGCGCACAATCATCGAGGCCAACAAGAGTAATTAATATTAGTTGCAATAAAGAAAGTATATATGTGTCACAGTAATTAATACACTCTGATACATTAAACACCTCGTCAAGCTAACCAAACATTGATTAAAAGTTGTTTCTGATACTATGTAATCAGGCTAGCCTGTCTGGCACCAATTAAAAATATTCTGATGTATACTGTAAATGCTACGTAAAGCTAACCAGGCTTACATGACTTAAGACTGACTGGATCTGAGTATTGATTAAAAGTCAGCAGGGTGCAGACGTCGCAGAGTTATTGTATACTGTCATAGGTTCCGAACTATTGCATGACAAAAATGCTTTATAGCTTAATAATGCCATATCACTTATTAACAATCACCGATGACATCATCTAAGCGACCGGTCAACTGACCTAATGGATCATGGGAAGGATGATCGATTGTGCTGGCTGCATCATTCATCCATCCATTCATTCATTTATTCATTCTAAGGATTTCACCATCATATTATAAATTCATTCCTTCATACAAAATGTAGATTCTTTTATAATTTGTTCCTTTTTACTTTGCCCAGCAGGAAGTTCCTGTGAGCTTTTATGCACCAGCACCCATATGTCATCTATCGCCAGTGTATTCTTATCCCATTTATCCCTAAAGTCACATTTAAACCTTACCAATTCAAAGACTGGGCAACCCCAGTTTAAATATATAGGGGTGAATGAGTTAAAATGATTTTTTTAGCTTATAGAGAACCGAAAGATCATGATATTTGTCCATTGACTGACTGATGATTGGCTATCAGATTTTTTCAAATAAATTACCTTGATCAATAGTTACCTTCAAGGTCTCAGAGATCAAATAAGAAAAAAAATGAGGTGAACGATTGGAGACCTTGAACATATTGTTTTCTTAATTGTTCCTTTTTAAATAATTCATTAATTTGTCAATTTAATCAGGTTTATTTTCAAAAGACAGCTGTAACACCTTTTTCTATTGTAGAGTTATAGTTACAGCCCTATTAGGGAATGATAACATTTTGAAATTGTTACCTGTTGATGTTGCAGAAAAGTGTTATTTTGGCAAATATCATGACCAGTATAGTAGCATGGAGGACATTAGCTTTATGCTCTAGATCTATGCTTTATAATCAATAGGTCATGGGATGGAACCCCTGTGGAGAGTTTTTTTTTCAAAGTTCTAATAGACATATTTCTGTTGGCCATTTTGTAACGTAAGACTTCTTTTATTACAGGTCTGGTTAAACTTGGCGTTCATTGTGTCTCCGGGAAGAGAGTGGCCATCAAAATTGTCAACCGGGAGAAGCTGAGTGAGTCAGTTCTGATGAAGGTAAGTAAGTAGTGATTAGAGCCCTGTGATGAAGTCTGAGGCTATTTTAATTGAAGTTCTAATGGCCCAAACCTGTCAGCCATTTAGAGAAATACAGGAGTAGTGGCAATTTAATGTCCTTCTGCAGGGAATCTGTCTGGGGGTTTATGGTGAGCTTGACCTGAATGAAAGAGTCTTTGGAAACGAATAAAAAGGTTTTTAGTTAAATTAGTGATGTTTTTCTCTATTATATGAGAGAGGGGGGGGGGGGGGGGGTATTATCCTGTTGGTCAGTTAAACTTCTGGTTCAGAGTTCAAACCTTAGCTTCTGGCCCCACCCATGGGGACTTCATCCTAGTGCTTTTAAGTCAAGGTGAGCATTACAGGCCCACTGGGCCTCTTGTTTCACATACCCATAATTAAATTAGAAAAACATAATGGATGAACATTAGATAAATATGAATGCTAAAATCAAATAATATTGCATTAATTTCATCACATTGAATGGATTGCAGTTAAATATATATACCAATATTAGTAAGGTTTGTTAGACATCATTCTGCTTTTTGTAAAAAAATAAATGTTTTATTTAAGTACAAGCAGAAGCATATTTCAGTGAAACTGTAAACTAAGATTTTATAACATAGCTTTCCTTCTGACATTTTATGTTGAAAGCCCATTTGCCAATATCATGAATCTTCCAACATAACATTGAGCAGTTTATGGATATGTGTACATAAACCTGCTTTTATGAATAAAATCAGTTTAATTTGCTGCATAGAAAAAACACAAAATATTTCCAAATAAGTATTTTTTTCAAATCTGTCAAAATTTCATTTAAGGAACTGATCAAGCTATTGGCATTCTTTTATTAAAACTGGTCGACTGGTTAACCTGAACAAGTTTCACACTTTGCACAAGACATTGCTTCATCGGCTTTCGTTGTGAATCTTAATTTGTCATTCAAACATTTGATCGATGCTGCATCGAAACGTAACAGCCTCGTCTGTTCACTGGGCTATATGTGTTTAATCAATATCATCTTGCTATCTATAGTATTGATAACGACCATACACTAATTGTTCAAAGGATCGTGATCATATTGGCAAGGTAACCGAAAAAGTTTAAATTTGTTTGTCTGCAGTTAAATTCAAATCACAGGATGAAAAGTCCTTTAGTCTTCAGATTCAATATTTATGAAAATATTAACACTAGGAAATTGTACACATTCTATTATCACACCTGCTTTCGACATGAAATATAACAAATATACAGATACTGGCTTGGGTAAGAAATACCGAAATAATCAAGGTCCAGCACTAACAATTAACCCTGGACCTGCCACATGTGAAGTAAATAGGTTGGTTTGAGAATAGTGATACACACAGTACTTATGTGTAGCACACATTCTGTTCTGATTGGCTCATTTGAATAAGCCAATTGTATTTAAATGTTTTGATTGGATGGTGCTGGTCCAATTTCATTCTGTGTGGAAATAAAATTACCAAAGAATCAATAACAAACCCAGGAGTCTTCGTAACTCATACACATGTCAAAACCTACTGCTTTTACATGTATTGTACCAGCCACTACATACGATAACAGCACACGAGTGTTGGCCTTCAGCGTCTGTTACGATGTGGACAGCAGGCAAGTTGGTTTACCACTTCATTGGTTATGCGGTTTAGAATAAAAAAATTATACTGCAATATATTGGACTGTTTAGATAATATTGCAATAAAGTTGTTAAGATTTGGAAAGATACATCACACAGACAGGGAATAAAAGAACATACCATGAAATTATACGACATTTGATATGTGCACATTTATCTTTTCTTTTAGTATTTCGCGTAGTAGAACCTGGAAGTCCCGATAACGACTTCTTCCTTCAAGAAGATATAACGTTACCTTCAAAATACTATCTATACTACGTACATACAATTGTTAAAACAACTCAATTATTCGTTAAAACACCTCACTAATTACTTGTAGGTAAGTTTAGCAACAACAGTCTTTATATAAACATTTGTAAAAACAGTTCTAGTACGTATATAAACAACTCACAACTTACCTGACCGTGAGAAATGGAAACAGGAAATAGATCATCTTTCTTATGACAAAGGATGGAAAAGTCTAGAGAATTCTGAGTGACTTTGGTAACTTCTAATCAAGGAAAAGATTCCGGGCGAAAATGGGTGAAATATATGAACTCCGGGTCAAAATCGTAACCCGGAGGGTGAAGTTATAAAAGCAGGTGAAGGGCTAAAATCCCGGGTGTAACCCGACGAAATCGGAACACTTGGCAGGTATGCATTTAACCATTTTTTTTTTTTTTTGACCAGCTTCATCCCGCTTTTTACATACATGAATTAAAATATTTAAAAAAGAAATTATAAATCGTTCGTATCTATGATTCTAAATGCCTTCCACAATACTTTTTAAAACAATCATTGAACATTCTACATAATCTTGATGAGAATTACGTTAAGTAATTTATATAAAATGCAGAAGCTATTGAATTGATAACACTCTTAGAGTACAGGTGAACCCCACTATCACACAGCCCTTAAAAGGTAAGATATCAGAATTCAAAGACGGAAGTAAAACACTTCAGAAGCAAGGCAATGGATTGCTGGCCTCTAATCAATAACTATTATTAGCACCTAAACAAAGCTGAATATTGGATTTTTATTCAGCAACAAGAAGTAGTATTAGCCACTGAAATATATTTTTTCATTCCATTACTTTTTCTTTGACATTTTCTCATGTTTATGTTTACTTTAAATCAATGTACAGAACAGCTAACCACATTCTAGAATATAAAAACGTGACTTTGCTCACATGAAAATTTTCCTCAATGACGCTATCCAGCTAACCAGTGGTTACCATGCTACTACACAATGTAAGCATGGCGACTACTGTTGCCATTAAATAAGATACTAAACCTGCAATTCCTATAAGTTTATTAGGGCACCGATGCATCTCCCTGACACATGTTAACACATTAACTCATTACTTTTTAAACATCCCAACTTAAGTCAGTGTTACCTGCAACCAGGAAATTTTAAAGGATACCGGTGGAATTTATTTCTTCATATTTAACTTCAGTGAAAACTGGCTTCAACACCCTGTGGGATGCAACAAATTGGTTGGAGACAAGGTGTCAGTATACAGTCAATTCTCAAAATGATTTTCAATGGCTCTGCTGAAAAAACTCCCCGTCTTCTGAATACTTCAAAAGTGAACTTAAAACCAACTCTGTTATATTTTCAGTAACACTGACTTTCATTAGCCCCTTCATCAGAGCATGCATTGCTCATCTGAGCTTTTTTGCTTCTAGCTCATTGATTTGGCCCATTATAGTCAGGGCATCATTGGCCAATTACAGTTGTGGGATCGCACAACGTTACACGATGTGTGCACGGTGCGTGAACAATGTGTGCATGATATGCGAACAATAAAAAGTTGGACGATCATTGCTTGCGCACATTTGTGTGCACGATGGAAGAATGTTGTGCGATAACAATCGTGGTTGGTGTAAATCGAGGAATGCCTAAACAATATATGCGGTTTCGTGTTTGAACATATAAACTTGATGTTTACGTATGTTTCTGTATTCTACCTACATCTGTCAGCTTATCTCGATGTCTTTACTTTCTTAAATTTAGAAATTGTGTTTTCAGTATTTTTAAAAGACCTTAATCGACACATGTAAAATTACAACACAGTCCCGTATACAGGTAAACATTTCCACTTTGTACATGTACCTGGACCGTAGTATTCCCCCGCCCAGGGCACTGACGTTTTTCATCGGGTAGGGCCAAGAGTGTGAAAACACAGGTGAAGAGGCGCTATAGGCAAACCGAATGCAAATAACAAATTCTATGCTAAGGTGCAGTTGTGTTTTCATTACGGTCATACAGTATCGCATATCAACTCTATGTGTCAGGTACAGGCCAGGTAAAACTCTGGTCACTCATCAAATTGTTATTTACCTGTTCTGTTACTTTGGAGCCAAACCGATTCTTGACAGTCTAATGGTCACTGTAACACTGTGTTACATGCATTGTAAAACTGTACATAATCTGCATTACTGTGATGAGAAATTATACTAATACATACAGTTTTCATTATTGCATACAAGCATTCCTTATTTGTTTTATTCCGTAATATTGATCTACAAATTGTACCCAATCGCACAGTTGTGCGGAGAAGAGCACAACAGAGCACACAGGGTTGTACGCACCATGTGTGGACGATGTGCGGACGGTGTATGAACGATGTATGCAAAGTGTGCGCATGTATTTTTGGTGCGTTGTGCGGTCCCACAATTGGAATCAGGCTATTTTGTAGCTAATTATTGGTCAAGGCATCTAGGGGCTCATTGGTCAATTGATCAGATTATCTTGTAGCGCATTAGCCTATTAGTCAGGATATATTGTAGCTCATTGGCCCATTGGTCAGGCAATCTTGTTGCTCATTGGCCCATTGGCCAGGGCATCTTGTTGCCCATTGGCCCATTGATCAGGGCATCTTGTTGCTCATTGGCCCATTGATCAGGGCATCTTGTTGCTCATTGGCCCATTGATTAGGGCATTTTGTGGCTCATTGGCCCAGTGATCAAGGTATATTGGGATCTCAATGACCCTGCACCTTGCATCACATTGGTCCATGGATCTTAGGGCATGCTTATAACCCACATTTGAACATTTGTAATTCTGTGGTTGTCATCAGCTGTTCTATACTGCACGCATATATACTCAATAAATTCAATCAGTAATAGCTTGGTATTAGATCAATATTTCAGGTTTTCTCACAATTAAATGATTTTAGTTCACATGCACTGCATTCAGTTCTCTAGCAGTACTGCATACATCAGACTGCATATAAACATGACTGGGACAGATCAATTGCTGTTTGAGGGCAAAGGTCAAGGTTATCATTTCTATAATTAGAATTCCAGGAATTATGCTTTAAATGTTGGGGAGAAAATGTTGCTATTGGTATAAAAAAAACATG